TTACAGATCACATGACACATGTTACAGATCACATGACACGTGCGTTACAGATCACATGACACGCGTGTTACAGATCACATGACACATGTGTTACAGATCACATGACACATGTTACAGATCACATGACACATGTGTTACAGATCACATGACACATGTTACAGATCACATGACACGCGTGTTACAGATCACATGACACGCATGTTACAGATCACATGACACATGTTACAGATCACATGACGTGCGTTACAGATCACATGACACGCGTGTTACAGATCACATGACACACTTGTTACAGATCACATGACACACTTGTTACAGATCACATGACACGCGTGTTACAGATCACATGACACGCATGTTACAGATCACATGACACACGTGTTACTGAGCACATGACACGCACGTTACAGATCACATGACACGCATGTTACAGATCACATGACACACGTGTTACTGAGCACATGACACGCACGTTACAGATCACATGACACGCGTGTTACAGATCACATGACACACTTGTTACAGATCACATGACACACTTGTTACAGATCACATGACACATGTGTTACAGATCACATGACACGCATGTTACAGATCACATGACACACGTGTTACTGAGCACATGACACGCACGTTACAGATCACATGACACGCGTGTTACAGATCACATGACACATGTGTTACAGATCACATGACACACTTGTTACAGATCACATGACACATGTGTTACAGATCACATGACACATGTGTTACAGATCACATGACACACTTGTTACAGATCACATGACACGCGTGTTACAGATCACATGACACACTTGTTACAGATCACATGACACGCGTGTTACAGATCACATGACACACACGTTAAAAATCACATGACACGCGTGTTACAGATCATGTATCATTCCCATAATGTTTGTAGAATGATACAAAGTAACGTTCTCATAATGTTTGAAGAATGTAATTTTCCCTTAACGTTCATATAACCAAGAAAAAACATGTTTAAACACTGGATGTTTTCAGAGCAAATTCAGAAATAACATGTTCATAACTTGATGTGAACATTAGACAAGCGTTCTGTCTTCATGATTTCAGGATCGCATCAAACATCGTGTCACTCTCTTCTAACATCCACATTCACATGTGCAGAACCTTGCTTAAAATATCATTTCTAGCATGAAAGCGTTAAACAGAAATCTGTGTTTTATAATGTAATTCTTCAAACATGACCCAGTTTCTGAACGGCTCAGATCAGTGATGAATGTTCCTGCAGAAACACAGAATCGCTGCAGAACTCTGGAAGCTCAGTCGCTGCTGGATCATTAAACGTTTGATCTTTTTCCACAAGCAGAACGTTTGCGGTGTTCTCTCTCTCTGTGTGTGTGTGTGTTTGTGAAGCCGCTTAGGTCATGGCCGTGTTCGTTCGCTCACTGAGCCGTGAGATTCACACTGACGTCCCACAGATCGTTCTGAGTCCGAGTGTGTGTGTGTGTGTGTGTGAGTGAGTCTGTTTACATCAGAGCTGAAACTGTGTCACGGGTCTGCGAGATTGAGTCCGTACAGTACAGGCAGAAACCGTGTGTGTGAGTGAGTGTGTGAGTGAGTGAGTGAGTGAGTGAGTGTGTGAGTGAGTGTGTGAGTGAGTGTGTGAGTGAGTGAGTGAGTGTGTGAGTGAGTGAGTGTGTGTGTCTGTGTGATCGGGTCTGTACAGTACAGGGAGAAACAGTGTTAATGTGAGTGTGTGTGTGTGTGTGTGTGTGTGTGTGTGTGTGTACCCCGCTGGGCTAACAGAAGGTGACTGCACACACAGCAGATGCTGATCCTCTCACAGAATCTCAGACCTGCAAGAAGTGAGTCGTGTTTGAACGCTTCAGAATCATTTGGCCGTTGACGTGATCAGACGGACTGTGATCTCAGTGTTCGTGTGTGTGTGATGCTCAGTATGTTCACTCAGAGTCAGCTCGTTTATTACACGGCTCTGTGGAATACTTGATTCTGATTGGCCAATCGCACATCCAGCGTTATATTATTCCCAGAGAACAACAGAGAACAGAAACTCAGGCTCATCCGGGTCACTGGAGTCAGCAGCGCTATACGCTCGCTAGGAACGGTTTTTCTTCGTGAAAGTTTTGCTTTTGGTGAGCTAATAAAATATTAAACTCTGTCATATCAATATTTTGTGTACAGTTATTTAAGTAAGCCATCCAGTATCGCGGACTCGCTCTCTCTTGTTTCATTCAAACGCAGCGGCTGCTAGTTTGTGACTAGGGGTTTTTTTTCTTTATTTTTTTTTTTCTTTATCAGGGACAATGCACAAAGTACATTAATCTTTCGAAAAGATGTTTTGTGGCAGAGTTAGCCGAAGCTAATTTTCATCCGCAGTCCCCGGGCAGGGTCACACAATTTTTAAGACATTACATTACAAAACCACTATCAATAGTAAAAATAATGGCAAATAGGCTACACATAATATTAGTCAACGAAGATCATATAAAAACAA